ATTTACAGCTTCTAGAGGGAGGGTTCTGATCTTCAAGGCTATAGGCAACAGTACGGTCCTCATCTTATTGTGATTCTGCTGATAGTGGGCGGTTTTCAAACGACTCTGCAGCTCTTCTCCCGAGCACTGGATGAAGAGGTGCAAAGGGGCCAGGACACTGGCAGCTCTTTGTCATCAGTGGTTTCAGAGAGATTCCTACTGGCGGGCCGGGCCGGACCGTGCAGCCCCTTCCCCAGCCTCTCAGAAACACGGATGATCTGCTGGGCTTTGCAGTCCCTGCCTCCAGCATTCCCAGGCACTTAGCTCTCCGGGCAGGGTCCACACAGCCCCTTCCGCAGCCTGACGGCCTTGCAGCTGCAATACTAATAGTATCCTTTCCCTTATCAGCACGTGCGTCCTTGGTTCGAACCCTGTATAAGTCCAACCGCCTCACTGCCAGGTGCGATTTCCCTGACCTAACTCGTTGGGTCTGGCACGTGCCCGCGAGCTCAAGATGCCCCTGTCCCTTTCTCTGCTCTCCCTTCCCTGCCTCAGTGAGATCTTTCTGAACTTCACATTCCTGGATGAATTCTCTCCATTCTGCATCTGATTTTCACCTCTCACCTACCATTATCTGCAGCGATAGCCGCAGGCCAAAGCACGGGATGATTGATTGTTTTAGGGTCTCTGCTCTTTCACGTGTGATTGGAAAATGCTACCCAGCCCTAAAGTCTCTACCAGGGCCAAAAGGTATTGGCACTTTGAGTGTGGTGGCTTATGGGTGACATCAATCTGCCAGGTCTTGTCCAGGAAGGTTTCCTCTCGATTGTGGGCTTTGAAAATGAAAGGAAGGTGTGGACTGACCCGGGAGAGACACTGACAGAGAATGGCTGTCTGGAGGTCCCAGTCAACACACTGAAAGGGTGTGGGTTGTCAATACGCCACCACCTTGACCAGGAAAGGGAGATGTGTCTCAGACGGGCCTTGATTTAAAAGTAACTCGAGTGGTGCCCTAGTCGTGTAAGGCATGCAAGTGGGGTTGCCATCCACAAGGTGTTGTAGTTAGAACCCACCAGCTGCTCTGTAGGACAAAGATGAAGCTCTTTCTATTTAAAAGTGTGAAGAGAGTACAGTGGGACAGGGGTGTGGGCCCTGTTCTCTCTGGTCCCATTGGGTCGTCAGGAGTCAGCATCACCTTGATGGCAGTGAGTTTGGTTTGGGTTCTGAGAGCGGACCTGGAGGAGAAAGGGACGGATGGAAAGAAAAAGAAGTTAACAGATCAAGAAGGGAGAAGGGAGTTGTTCCTCAGGCAGGAATCTTACCGGTGGGATAACAGTCTGTTGACAGTGACAGTCCACCTGGGCTGTGAGAATGGACCCCTGGTGGGACGACAGCCCAATGGGACGTGGTCTCCCCACTTGGGAAGGTTGGCCCTCGGGGGCTGGCACTGCAAACATAGCTCACCTTTGCCAACCTTTCCAGAACCAGTTTCCTGAACAGTAAAATGTCAGAACCTGAGCGTCCCTCCTGCCCAGTAGGTGAGGGGGCAAGTGCCTGGACTGACGGCTCGGCTGTTTGTCTCCAAGCTTCTATGGGACACGCAGAGACTGCTCTGGGTGTGGGGCGTCCTTGTCAACAAGGGCGTCGGGCACGTCTGGCCCTTTCTCTTTCTGAGCAAAATGAAGAGCCAGGTTGGACTGCTCAAAAGTGCTGCCTGTTGGAAGGCTTCCCCTTTGCCCACTGATCCCCCTGGGAACCCCAGAACGGGCCTGTTGTACTGCTGCTTGTTGTACTGCACGGTGCTGTTGTGTTGTACTGTTGCCTGCCTGCCGGGCAGAAGCATCAGTAAAGCAAGCATGTGCTTTCAACTACTGAGTCCAAGGAACTCCCATGAGGCCATAGGTGTGCGGACTGCAGGCAGGAAGGTACTGGACAGAAGTGGAGACCACAGACAATGGAGCCCTTGCTCACACAGCTTACCTGTGCTGTCAGGTCCTGCTCTGGCCTCATCTTGTATACACCTAACGGGATGCAATACTGCTGTGCACATTCCAACTTAGTGACCCTGCTGGTCAGACAACACTCCGTTCATGCTGGGGGCAGCATAGTGACTCCAAGTGTGACCCCCAATGAGGCACTCTTGTTGACACCCAGAAACGGGCCCAAAGCTTGGTTTCAAAAGGAGAGTCTTCAGGGGATGGCAGAGCTTTGCCCCCAAATCCTGAGGGCCTTCTCTGTGACCCCCATAGTGTCCCCCCAAGGACTCCAACCTGCACTGTCTGCTGCTGGGCCTCGCTCTTGGCCGGCAGCTCTCTAGTCACTTGATGACCTAAGCCAAGGGGAGCACACACGGGGACGTTTTCAAAAGTCCGAGCACCCAACCTGGCGTTGCTTTGGTGTTTTTTGATTTACTTTTTTCCTTCGAATAATTTTATTGACATAGCTTTTTCGTTCCAACATATTCTTTCCCTTCCTTTACAGGTGTTACTCAATCCAATTGGATGGGGTTATATAATCATCAGTACCACCCACTCCCCTCCCCTCCTTCCTCTCCCCTCCCTCAGAGAACCCTTACACCCATTGGTGTCTCTAAAGGGTCCTCTATCTTGATTACCAGGTACGGAGCAATCTTAATGTATAAATGAACATCGCAAATCTAACATGGTCAATGAGGTGTATCATGTCTGGACATAACATAAGGGGAGGATATCTTAACTGAAAGTTAATCAGTGCCATACTGTATCCTGGACATGCCCTCCGTTCCATGAGGCCCTTCTAAGAGGGAGTGTCCGACTGTCCTTAATGGATGTAGGGTCTCCACTACTTCCACTCCCCTTCAGAATCAGTTTGCACGCTTTTTTGAACGTCTGGCACCTGTTCCCTTCGACACCTATGATCACACAGCCTGGTGTCCAGGCATTGTAATATTTCTCTCGGGTAGTGAGGTGCCCCCAATCTCTGGAGCCCTAGGAATTTCACGGAGGTGGAAGGCGCCTGAATGTTGTCTGCTTTACTTTCACCGTGAAGGACGCTGATGTGGATGGCAACCCCACGTGCATGACTTGCTCTTGACTAAGCCTAGTCAGCATCATGTCATCAATGTCGGTTAGGAGCAGTGACCTTCTGTGAAAGGGAAAGGTGACCTGGTCCTATAGACAAAATGGTGACATTCTTGGAGAATTAGTAACTTGAGGGAGGGCTGGAGAAGTGTGGTGTTGCCCTTCAAAACCTTTGGGGGTCTCCCAGCATTTGTGTCAATCCAGACCTGGTGCCTAGTAATCCCTTCTGGGGAAAGAAGAGGAGAGGTCTCTGGGAAGCCGTGTGCGCCAGCTCGGCATCCCCCCAGCCCAGGGGTGCGGTCCTCAGAGCAGGTGTTTGCCGGTGCACAAGGCTGTCTTGGCATGTCTTCACTTAGCTTACCAGTTTCCATGCAATGGGAAAACTGTTTCCAGGATCTCTCTGCTTCTGACCAAGAGACATAGATGATCGTTTGCCCTCTCCTGGGTCTGGAAGCTTCTCGATCCAAGGTCCTGTGGCATTTGGGGGGAAAGCATAAGTGGATGTGTAAAGAAACGGGGAGAGAAGACCTTTAAGATTCTGAGAGGTGGGTGTGGAATGCCCTGGTACCGCCTTAAGTCAGACCTGGTTTAGGTTGAAATTCAAATGGAAGATTTCTCGGAGAAGATACCTTTTTGTAAGGGGATTGACTTGGCATCAGGAAAACAGACAGGACATATGACCTCCCCATCGGAGAGACAACTTTGCTTGGTGTGGAGCAAGCACAGACCCCACAGGGGTTCCACACCAGCAGAGCAGGACCTGGAGGGAAGTTCACTGCCATAGTCAAACCCCAAGCTTCCTTAGCATCAGGCTTCCCAGTGTAACATGAACAACTTCTGTCCTGGTAACTGCCTGATGGAGGCACCCTGGGAACACTGTGTGTGCTGGGGTATAGGGGTTGGGGGATGGGCCTTGTGATTGTAGATCGGGGTCTGTTACAGTTGAAATCCTGGGATGGTAAAACATCAAAAAGAAGTGAAGGTTGAGTCCACTCGAAGGTGCAAGCTTTGACATGCACACTGCCACCTGGCTGTGGGACAACAAGCACCTTGTGCAGAGTGAGATCGATGTCCTCTATGGATGCATGAAGGAATGTGGCCGGTTAGGCCCACGATCTGTGGGCTAATGTTTTCGGTCAGACTTCATCGCAAACTAGTTCCCAGGAGATGGAGATTGAAAACAAAGTCCCAGCCTCAGCAAGATGAGGCTGATCCATTCCCTCTGCCCCCTGCCCCACCAAGGAGTATATTGTCTTAATGTCTCTGCAGTCTGTGAGTCTTCAGTGTCCCACAGAACTCAAAGCTGGAGGGGAAATGTCTCACTGGGGTGTGTGCAGTTCTGTCCAAAGGTCAGGCAGGGGTCAGCCACCTGTCCCATCTTGGAGGGCACTGTCCACCATACTAATGGACAGGATTTGGGGTGGCTTGCAGACCTGGTTATGGTTCAAGCCAAGTCACTCTTGGCTTCCTTGGTTGAGGGTGTGATGGCACCATCCTTGGTTTTCAGTGAAGGTATGGTTGGCTAAGAGACATGAAGTGGCACGTCCCCAGCAAAGGTATTCCCTGGTGCACAGAGCCATTTGGGACACAAATCCCCAGGAACCAGAAGCACTAGACTGGGACAGACGCTATGGGACATAACAGAGGAGCAGCACCTTCCCTTGGACTGAGTGGAGCTGAGGTCAAGGGACCACGTGGCTGAGCCTGAGACCAGAAAGAGACTTGGTTTGCTGGTTGAGGAGAAAGGGGTGTGTTGACTGTGAACCCATAAGCAGACTAAATTACTGTTGGCTGATCCTCACTGTGGTAACCTATGATCTTCCCTATAAACTCAATTGTCTATATTGTCTTGAGAGATGTGTGTGACCATTTCAAGGTATTGCCGAACCCAGCACAGAGGTAGTGCTAAGGGGAAAGCTTGGTGACAGAACAGGGGGAGTGTGGGCCTATGCAAATGCTTACCTTGTAGCCATTGGCAGCCTGAGGAGGGACAGATTGGCATTTCCCACACTGTACAATGGGTTTGCTTGTCCTGCAGCTTAAACTGTACCTTGTGTCTTAAGAATAGGTCCTTGGTTCACTTCATTGGTCACGTTAGACTTGTATATGTTCATTTAAGACTGCCCGGTACTAAGAAAAGGGTTGTATTGTGGGAGGGACTGATGCCTGGGGCTACATAGGTGGGGCCCTCCTCGTCCTCAGGCATCTGGGCGATCAGCTGTTGCCACTCTGCTGCTTGGCACAGGAGCATCATGAGACTCTTGTAGTCCAGCTCAGACAGCACCAAGCCCTGTGACAGTCCTGGGTGGTTGTGGGCCCCAGTGCCCTGGGGCCATGCTTCCAACCAGGAAATCTTCAGGGGGTTCTCAGCCAGCCCCTCCTCATTCTGGACAGCCAGCTCGTCAGCTTTGACTGCTGCAAACTCCACCGCCCCGCAGGCTTCTTCCCAGAGAGCACCAGGCTGACCACCTTGCCATGTTTCTGGAAGAGCCACAGGAGCACGTCTTTGGAGTAGCCGCCTGGGGACTCGTCCTCCTCCTGGCACCTCCACTTCAGTTTGAGTTTGGGGGTTCCTTTGCCTTCGGGAGGCTCTGCTTTTCCTCTCCACCTCTGCTCCCGTTCCTGCCGGACCTGCT